CACTGTCTCCTAGGCTGGCGTACAGAGGCATAGTCATGGCTCACTGCAGCCTCAACCTCCTGGGCTCAAGCAATCCTCCTGCCTCAGCTGCCCAAGTAAGTAGCTGGGACCACAGTCATGTGCCACCAAGCTTGGCTCTATTTTTTTTTTTTTTTTTTTTTTGAGACAGAGTCTTGCTTTGTCACCCACGCTGGAGTGCAGTGGCGCAATCTCAGCTTACTACAACCTCCGCCTCCTGGGTTCAAGCAATTCTCCTGCCTCAGCCTCCCAAGCAGCTGGTACTACAGGTGTGTGCCACCATGCCTGGCTTTTTGTATTTTTAGTAGAGACGGGTTTTCACCATATTGGCCGGGCTCGTCTCAAACTCCTGACTTTGTAATCCACCTGCCTCAGCCTCCCCAAATGTTGAGATTACAGGTGTGAACCACCACACCCAGCCAGTACATTTTTGGTAGAAACAGGATTTCGCCATGTTGCCCAAGCTGTTTTCAAATTCCTGAGCTCAAACAATCTGCCCACCTTAGCCTCCCAAAGTGCTTGGATTATAGGCATGAGCCACTGCACCCAGCCTGAAAATAAACTTGTTTTAAATGTTGTTTATAGGACTACATTGAGTCAGACTAAGGAAGTCATTTGATGAACTGCTAATTGTGCAAGAAATGCCTGACCTAATCTTATCAGATTTAATGTTTGGAAAAAAAAAAAAAAGAATCCCAAAGCAGCCCTTCTGCAAGAACTGCTAAAATGGAAGTTTCTGAATCTAGGTCAGTGGCCTAAATGCTGTATGTGTTTTCTGTGCAAAAAAATGCTCTATAGCCATTTCTGCCTAAAGCCAGGACTTCACACAGGCTGAATGTCATTTTACTCTTTAACATGTTCATTTGAGCTGCTGATTCACAAAGGGTTGGGGTGGGTACCGGTCAGAGCAATAGCAGTTGTATGGATATGTATATGTGAGAGTGTGTGTGTCTGTGTGTGTTGGGGAAGACAGTGAAGTCCTTTTTTTTTTTTTTTTTTTTTTGAGACGGAGTTTCACTCTTGTTGCCCAGATTGAAGTGCAAGGGTGCGATCTTGGCTCACTGCAACCTCTGCCTCCCAAGTTCAAGCGATTCTCCCACCTCAGCCTACTGAGTCGCTGGGATTACAGGCATGCGCCACCACGCCTGGCTAATTTTGTATTTTTAGTAGAGACAAGGTTTCTCCATGTTGGTCAAGCTGGTCTTGAACTCCCGACCTCAGGTGATCCACCCTTCTTGGCCTCCCAAAGTGCAGGGATTACTGCTCCGAACCACCTTGCCCACCTGACAGTGAAGTCTTAACTAGCTTTACTCTGAATCTTCCTGGAGAAGAGAGAGTTAGAAAGGACTGGCCACTAAAAATACAAGAAAATTAGCTGGGCATGGTGGCGGGCACTTGTAGTCCCAGGTACTTGGGAGGCTGAGGGTAGAGAATCATTTGAACCCAAGAGGTGGAGGCTACAGTGACCTGAGATAGCACCACTGCACTCCAGCCTGGGCAACAGAGCGAGACTCCCTCTCAAAAAAAGAAAAAAAAAAAAAAAAAAGGACTTCTAGTTGAGGGAGGAGGTAGACAGCTTGAAGTCTGAGGAGGAATGTTCCCCAGCCAGGATCAGGCATACTAGTTTAGAAGTTCCCTTACTGAAACTGAGTAATTTCAGGGGAAACCAAAAAAAAGTTCCCTTTACTGGTAGCCCAAGGCATAAAATGAGGGGGTGGGGGTGGCACAGGGCAAGGAGGGCTGAATCACCAGGCATCTTGGAGGGAAGAAGTTTGAATATGTTTGGAAAGTTCTGGGTTCCCATCCTGGTAGCCTAACCAGAGAGTGTGGCCTAGCCTACACTGACCCTGTACAGGAAAGGGGAGACTTGAAGTGGGATGTCTCTTCTCACAGGTCCAGGTTGTAGAACGCTGAGTAGGACCCTAGGTCCCTAGACATTGCAATTCAGCACCTACCCCCAAAACCTGCTCCTCCTGTTGCTGACTCAGTTAATAATGCCACCTTCTCATCTCAGGCTCTCACATACTATACTCCCTGCCTGCTCACCTGCCATCTGTTTATTCCTTAACCAGCTGCTCTTGACGTCTTTTCAGTCTGTCACTTTTTTTTTTTTTTTTTAGATGTAGTCTCCCTCTGTTACCCAGGCTGGAGTGCAGGGTATACTAGGAGTTTACTCCTAGGCATGAACCACTGCTCATAGGCATGAGCCACTGCACCCAGCCTGAAAATAAACTTGTTTTAAATGTCATTTATAGGACTCCATTGAGTCAGACTAAGGAAGTCATTTGATCAACTGCTAATTGTGCAAGAAATGCCTGACTTAATCTTATCAGATTTAATGTTTGGAGAAAAAAAAAAAAAAAGAATCCCAAAGCAGCCCTTCTGCAAGAACTGCTAAAATGGAACTTTAGTGTTTGTGTTTAAATTGGTGACTCAAGGGCCTTCTTATGTCTGAACCAACTCTCAAGGACCTACCCCCAACAGAGATCACAACCAACTCTCAAGGTGTGATCTCGGCTCATGCAACCTCAGCCTCTTGGGTTCAAGCGAATTCTCCTGCCTCAGCCTCTTGAGTAGCTGGGATTACAGGTACCCACCACCATGCCTGGCTAGTTTTTTAGTAGAGATGGGGGTTTCACGATGTTGGTCAGGCTGGTCTCCAACTCTTAGCCTCAAGTGATCTGCCCACCTCAGATTACTTGGGATTTTAAAGTGCTGGGATTATAGGCCTGAGCCACTGCAACCAGCCACTCATTCCATCTGTGAATGACTAATCTGCTCCCCTAGAGGTTAACAGTCTAGGAGGGGGACTGGCACTAGCCATCAAAGGGCCCAGCATATATATTGGTTTATTAATATAAAAACATTCCACTCTGGCCAGGCACAGTGGCTCAAACCTGTAATCCCAGAACTTTGCAAGGCCTGGGCGGGCAGATCACCTGAGGTCAGGAGTTCAAGACCAGCTTGGCCAGCATGGTGAAACCCCATCTCTACTAAATATATAAAAACTAGCCAGGCATGGTGGCGGGCACCTGTAATCCCATCCACTAGGGAAGCTGAGGCAAGAGAATCGCTTAAACTTGGGAGGCAGAGGCTACAGTGAGCTGAGATGGTGCCACTGCACTCTAGCCTGAATGACAGTGTGACTCCTGAGAGTTCCAAGGAACAACACGGGTAGTGTGAGGTCCAAGGGGAAGCTGACAGTTCTGCTTAGGTTACCTCAAGGTGGACTCAAAAGGCTGAGGTGAAGAGGTCTTGTAACCAGAGGGAGGTGGGAGTGTTCGGGAGTTCTGAGGAGGGTGGAGAGGGAGCCAGAGCAGGTGCAGAAGGCCCTACAATCCTTAGTGACCTAAGGGCATACAAAGTAGGAGGGCAGCAGCACAGATCCCTACTCAGGGCAAGAGGAAAGGTCCTTGAGAGTTGGTTCAGACATAAGAAGGCCCTTGAGTCACCAATTTAAGCACAAATGCTGGGCTGCCAGAACCTCTGGCTCACATTCAGCTGGGTGAACAGCTCTGCCACGTCTCTGGGTACCTGCCTGCCCAAGCAGAAGCTACACCCAGGCCCTGCAGTTCCCTGCACGGTGGTAGGAAATGGCTCCATATCTGTCTTGAAAGATTACTGGCAGCAGGGTCAACAGATGGATAGGCAGGACCTGAGTGGTGCCCGAGAAGCAGAAGCTGGCTTCAAAGACAAGCCCTTGGCCGGGCGCGGTGGCTCATGCCTGTAATCCCAGCACTTTGGGAGGCCGAGGCGGGTGGATCACGAGGTCAAGAGATCGAGGCCATCCTGGTTAACATGGTGAAACCCTGTCTCTACTAAAAACAAAAAAATTAGCTGGCGCGTGCCTGTAATCCCAGCTACTCAGGAGGCTGAGGCAGGAGAATTGCCTGAACCCAGGAGGTGGAGGTTGCCGTGAGCCGAGATTGCGCCATTGCATTCCAGCCTGGGTAACAAGAGCGAAACTCTGTCTCAAAAAAAAAAAAAAAAAAAAAAAAAAAACAAAGACAAGCCCTTATCCTGGGCCTGAATGTGCAATTGCACCTAAGTGTTGGGCAGGGCAGACTCAGAAGGGCCAGTTACATTGTAGTCTTCTCACTCTTGAATACATGAGGCAGAAACTTTTTTTTTTTTTTTTTTTTGAGATGGAGTTTCGCTCTTGTTACCCAGGCTGGAGTGCAATGGTGCGATCTCGGCTCACCGCAACCTTCGCCTCCTGGGCTCAGGCAATTCTCCTGCCTCAGCCTCCTAAGTAGCTGGAATTACAGGCACGCGCCACCATGCCCAGCTAATTTTTTTTTGTGTATTTTTAGTAGAGACGGGGTTTCATCATGTTGACCAGGATGGTCTCGATCTCTTGACCTCGTGATCCACCCACCTCAGCCTCCCAAAGTGCTGGGATTACAGGCTTGAGCTACCGCGCCCGGCGAGGCAGAAACTTTTAAGAACAGCTTCACAGCAGATACAAGCACTTGGTAGCAGTATGGAAAGATCTAGCCAAGTAACAGAGAATTTATAACTTTGCATGAGCCTCCAACTGTGTAAAATGGGATTGTGTTGGCCTAACACTAGGAGAGGCCATAGACTCTGAATATGAGTGGGGACTCATGTTATCTTGTGGTCATTTCAGTGTGGAGCAAATACTGAGAAGCCTACTATTTGAGTTAGGCAGTCAACCCCTGCCTTGTGTCTTCTTTTTGAACTAAAGACTTTGTTTTAACTGGGCCTTGGGATGGCCCTATTCCATGTTCTGGCAAAGGCAGAAATGCAGGCCAGAAGCCAGATTTCCCACAAAGTAAAGAGTGGATTCTACACACTGCAGACAAAAGGACAAAGTTCAAACTTGACTAGGATAAGGGGAAGACGGTTAAGTTCCCACCACTGTGACAATAAGGTTAGAAAAAGTATCCCCCAAAAAAAAGAAAAAAAAGAAAAAAAGAAAAAGTACCCCCAGTTGGCAGTGATACAGGACATACACACAGTTCTGCTAACACCAGGCACTTTATTAGTGGGGAAACTAGCCTTGGTCTGGCAGAGAGATTGGGATGGACAGGACCAGCGCCCATTCTCTAGGGGGTATTTTCTGGAAGATCAGGTGTTCCTCCTTGTAGGTTTAGAGGAAACACCCTCATAGATGAAAATCCCCCAGAGAGCAGTGCTGCAACTGCCAGGCAGCCGGGGTAGGAGGGGCGCCCTAGGCACAGCTGGGCCCTTGGGAAAGCAGGGCTTCGATGTCAGGCTCGATGTCAATGGTCTGGAAGCGGCGGCTGTACCTGCGCACAGGAACACCGTCAGGGCCCACCAGGAACTTCTCAAAGTTCCATGCAACATCATTTCGGCATACCGGAGACCAGGTGATGAGCTTGGGGTCGGTCATGAGCGCAGTGGCATCGTCGCTGGGCGCTGGCAGGGCCTCCCGCAGGAAGGCAAAGAGAGGGTGCGACCCCGCACCGTTCACCTCGCACTTCTCGAAGAGCATGAAGTTGGGCTCGAACCCACCACCAGGTCGGACGTACTTGAGGGAATTCAAAATCTCTTCGTTCTTGGCGTTCTCCTACGGGAGATAAGGGCAGCTGAGAGCAGGGATCGAGAGGGGGAGAGAAACTTTCTAACCAAAACCAAGGAAGTTTTCCTATGAGTCACTGGGACTTTGCCCTCCCATGCGCAATCCCAAGGGCGGACCGTCATTCCAGCATCTACAAGCACCAGAAGGGAAACAGCGGGTAGCCAGACTCTCCGCGCACCGGGCCTGCGGCGCCCCCAGCCACCACTGCACGCCCGTCCTCGCCCGCCTTGCCCGGCGCACCTGATGTCCAAACTGGTTGCACGGGAAGCCGAGCACCACCAGGCCCCGGGGCCCGAGGCGCCGCTGCAGCTCGTTCATCTGGGTGTAGTCCCGGACCGTGGTGCCTCAGAGGGACGCCACATTCTCGATAAGCAGCACCTTGCCCCGCAAGGAACCCAGGCTCACAGGCTCCCCGCCGGCCAGCGGACGCGCCGAGAAGGCGTACACAGACTGGGCGGCCGCCGCAGCCGCTAGCCGAGCGGCACACATGGCGCAGCTATTCGAGAAGCTAAGACAGCGCCCCGAACCAGCAGGGATGCCAGGAGGCGCCTATTTTAACTGGTCTGCAGTGGGTCACGTGACCCAAGCAGCTTTTCCGGACCCGAGGGTCCCGCCTCGTCCTGCCCCCGCCCTACCCTTCGGGTTTGGCCCCTCCTCAACCGGGAAAAGGCTGGAGGGTGCGCCCGAGTGGGACGCGGGCTCCGCCCAAGACGGGAGGAGCCGCAGGCTTGCCAAGTCTGATCTAGGAAACTAGGCGGCAGCGGTCTGGGTTACACTTCGGAGGCCCAGGCCCTCGAGGGCTCTGTTCTTTCTCAGAGGTTCCTCAATTAAGGTGTGGGATTCGGTATAGGAGGCTGGTGGGCGATGGCAGCAGTAGCTGCCTGTGCACACAGCCCTTCCGTACTGTGCCATGTTACCAGCAGTCTAGCGCACAGCCAGAAGATCTAGGCCTCCGATCTCCCTCCTCTCGGTCTCCAAAGCGGCACCGCCCTGGTGCAGGTTTTCTAACAAGATTAAGAGTCCACAAAGCACTGGCCCAGCCTCCTGAAGTGGAGCATAACAGCTCGCCAGAGACAAGGAAGCACGGCCTGAGTCTTCCCTGTCTGGCCTCAATAGGCTGCATTCACTCCACCCCCTAATCTGAACTAGAATGTGGTCCAGGATAATCATTTCCATGTTGCTCGGAGGGACCAGGTTAGTTGCTGGGTGGGTGGGAGGTGGGGCACAAGCTAGTCCTTTGCACCCTTAACAAACCTCTCCAGGGTGAGCTAGGTCAGGAAGTCCTTGCATCCTCCTGCCCCCCAGCCCTGGAGAGAGCGACACAAACACCAGGATACAGGAAGTTTAGAAAACTGCCTTTATTCTATTAGTAGTTGGAAAAATTAACTGGTACAGAAAGAAAAAGTTTAGTCAGCTGGAAGGAAGAGACTGAGTGCCACCCATGAGAACTGGTGGCTACTCTGGGAGGGAACCTGGATGCAGTGAGGAGAAAAGAGCACTGTGAATTGGAGCCAGGCGCTGCAGTCCAGGTGAGACAGGTTATGCCACCTTCCAAAGTGTCTAATTGCCTCAGGAATGAAACCAATTCTTACTACTGAGCCCAGCTCCAGACAGGGGTACTGAGATACGTGGGGCCTAAAAGGGGTAAGATGGCCATCTTTTATCAGAAAAAGTGACAAAACGGGAATTTAAAAAATGAATTTTCCATCTGACTTTATTTCCAAATACACTTTCTTTTTTAAAAAACCAATACACTTTCTTTGGGGATGACAAATATCAGTATTAGGAAATCCAATTATACAAAAAAATACTACATCTAGTCTGGGGTAGATATATTTATTTTTGGTAACATACATTAAGTGGCACTAATTACACAGTAACTATAAGGTAACTAACATGAAACCACAGAACTGTAACTGCCACAGCTGCATGGACTTGGGCTTTTCTGGTTCAGCCCATTTTCAAAAAACCACCCACCCCAGAGCTATGGCAACAAAATCTGTTAACAAGTAAAGCCCTGAAGTGGTGACTCACCAGAGTACCTTGCAGCTGAGGTGATAGGCAGGACATGTTAGTTATAAAGTAGTTACAGCCTAATTCACAAAAGTTACCAACTGTTTCTCTTTCTAGAAAGAAGCAAGAAGTTAAGAAATTCCTTGAATTAGTGCCTGGTGTATCAGGTGGGAGTGCAGAGGAGGGATGTTAGAGCAGTGTCAAAAGGACCCTGGTGGGCCAGACAGGTTGGACATCATTAATAATCATAGTTGGCTTCTAAATACTGGTAGCAAGATGACTTTTGATTTGTAATCTTAGGTAAATTATAGATAAATGAAAAAGGCCAGTAATCATACACTAAGATTAATAAACAGCACTTGTTCAAAATGAACCGCATAAGGGCTGTGCTTGCAGCAAGGTTTCACAAGACAAGGCACCCAGATTTTTTCTTCCCACGTCTAGCTTGCAGAGCAGCTCTCGTAGCCATTTCAAAAACCTCTCTCACTCCATCTTTGGTCTTTGCTGAACACTCCATGTACCCAAAAGCGCCAATCCTGTTTGCCATATCTCTGCCTTCTTCAGGTTTCACAGGTTCCTAGCAAAAAGAAAAAATAAGTGTTTTTAGCTAATAGAGTGACACACATATGGTAAGTAAAGAATATTCAAATTCAGCTGAAAGACTTTTTTTTTTTTTTTTTTTTTGAGACGGAGTGTTGCCTAGGCTGGAGTGCAATGGCACGGATCTCAGCTCACTGCAACCTCTGCCTCCTGGATTCAAGCGATTCTCCTAACTCGGCCTCCCAAGCAGCTGGGACTACAGGTGTGTGCCACCACACCCGGCTAATTTTTTTGTCTTTTTAGTAGAGATTGGTTTCACCATTTTGGCCTGGCTGGTCTCGAACTCCTGACCTTGTGATCTGCCATCCTGGCTTCCCAAAGTGCTGAGATTACAGGCGTGAACCACTGTGCCCAGCCTAAAATACTTTCAAAAGCTGCTGAACTCCCAGCTTTGAGTGCTCTGTTTTGAAAATTTTAAACTGACATATGGCGACTAGTCCCTACCAAACATAAAATCTCGATTAAACATGGTCTTCTCTGGGAAGTAGAAAAAGAAAAGAGATCAGAGGCACCCTGGAAGGTTAAGGAGCCAATCAAGGGCAAAATTGCTCAAGCTACCAATCTAGGACTGAATGCTCATGCAAGGAAATAGAGCCTACCCTTGACATTCAAACAAAAACCTCAGTAAGAGAACTTAGGTTGAAGATCTCAATGCTTCTCCTGCAGTGAGGAAGCCCTGCCATTAGGCCACCTGGTTATTGAGAGGCCAAGATGCCATATCCATAATCACTTTTAAAAAGACACTGGGAGTGGGGGAGAAGGCAGGCATTAGCGTTCTTTTTTTTTTTTGAGACGGAGTTTTGCTCTTGTTACCCAGGCTGGAGTGCAATGGCGCCATCTCGGCTCACCACAACCTCTGCCTCCTGGGTTCAGGCAATTCTCCTGCCTCAGCCTCCCGAGTAGCTGAGATTACAGGCACGTGCCACCATGCCCAGCTAATTTTTTGTATTTTTAGTAGAGACGGGGTTTCACCATGTTGACCAGGATGGTCTCGATCTCTTGACCTCGTGATCCACCTGCCTCGGCCTCCCAAAGTGCTGGGATTACAGGCTTGAGTCACCGCGCCCGGCCAGCGCTTTCTATATGGACTCCCGGCCTTCATGATTTCCTTATCTTTCCAGTTGCCACTTATTTATCTTTGGCGTCACATGTACCAAAGTAAGAGCTGGAGAAGGCAATTGAGTCTAACAGGGCCAGATGGGTGGTGGCTCACCCCTGTAATTCCAGCACTTAGGGAGGCTAAGATGGGTGGATCACAGGAGGTCAGGAGCTCGACATTCCATCTCACAGGACTAGTGGTCTATATCTTAGGGATCCTTCTGTGTAGATCCCAATTACTGAGGGCCAGAGGGCCACAGAGGGGTTCTGTACCTCTAAAACAGCCTGGCCTGTGAAAGTTACTGCTGGGCTCCCCAGCAAAATGAATTGTTCTTTACATTTTCAGTTTCATCTCTAGACACTGGAAGAGGACCCAAGCCATGTACAGACCATAACTGTGAATCTTCCAGAAGACTAGCTAAGGCTAAAAATCTCATAGAGAGATTTTTTAATCAACAAGTAGAAGCTCTTGGCAGACGTGCAGAGCCATTGCCTGAAATATACTACATCGAAGGTACTCTCCAAATGGTTTGGATTAATCGCTGCTTTCCAGGGTATGGAATGAATGACCTGCAACATCCAAAATGTCCTGAGTGCTGTGTGATCTGCAGCCCTGGATCATATAACCCCCGTGATGGAATTCATTGCCTTCAGTGCAATAGCAGTCTGGTGTATGGAGCAAAAGCGTGCTCATAAGCCATATCTTGAGTTATTCAGTGGTTCATTAAATGCAAAGTATATATTTGAAATATTAACATATAATAAATCATTATGCCAAAATTAAATGTATCATATTATACAGAAAAAAAAAAAAAAAAAAAAAAAAAAACCTCCAACCTTGGAGCCCTAGTTCAAGAATACTACAAGACAGAACCCTGCCCCAGATCATGCCTGCTTCATCTTGGCTAGCTCCCGCCTTGTGTGCTCATCATTCCGAAGATCCTTCTTATTCCCAACCAGGATAATGGGCACGTTGGGACAGAAATGCTTGACTTCCGGAGTCCACTTTTCTGGGATGTTTTCTGAAAGAAAAATGTACAGAATTTGGGGATACATACAATTCTATCTTGAAGACTTTCCAAAAGCCCTAGTGAAATTGCATAGATACTTTGTTGCTTGAGAATAATGCTAGACATTTAATGAAATCCACTAGTTTCAAAACCATAAAATAGAGCAAATATAATCCCTTTCCTTTAAACAGAGAACCACCAGCTTTTCTCAGTCGAGTGGTGCTGAGCTTCTCTGTAGGTGGGGCTCAAGTAATGCATCTGGAGGAGCAAAAGATCCATAACACTAGGCAGCTTCACAGTGGTACTTCCTGTCCCACAGAGGCAGGCTCTTTACAGACATCTGTCACTGCTAGATGATTCTGACACAGCTTACAGAAGAGGTCCCCATTCTACTAGGGCAGCAACTGATTCAGGGTCTACATGCTCTTTTTCTAATCTGTACACGGGCTCTGAGTGTAACTTCTACCCTATGGGGATTACTGGTATTTCAAAAAGCTGAAGAATGGCTTTTGAAAATAACCAAGAGGCTGGGCATGGTGGCTCACACTTGCAATGCCTGCACTTTTGAGGCTGAGGCAAGTAGACAGCTTGGGCCCAGGAGTTCAAGAACATGGTTAAACCCCATCTCCGGCCAGGTGCAGTGGCTCAAGCCTGTAATCCCAGCACTTTGGGAGGCCAAGGAGGTTGGATCACCTGAGGTCAGGAGTTCAGAACCAGCCTGACCAACATGGCAAAACCCCATCTCTGCTAAAAATACGAAAATCAGCTGGTTGTGGTGGCACGTGCCTACAGTCCCAACTACTTGGGAAGCTGAAGCAGGAGAATCACTTGAACCTGGGAGGTGGAGGTTGTGGTTAGCCGAGATCCAGACACTGCATTCCAGCCTGGGTGACAGAGTGAGACTCTGTCTCAAAAAAACAAACAAAAGGCCGGGCACAGTGGCTCACGCCCGTAATCCAAGCACTTTGGAGGCCAAGGCAGGTGGATCACCTGCAGTCGGGAGTTCAAGACCAGCCTGACCGACATGGTGAAACCCCATCTTTAAAAAAACAAACAAAACAAAAAAACCCTAGAAAACCCCCACCTCTACAAAAATATACAAAAACTTAGTAGTATACAGTGGTACCTGTGCCTGTGCTACCAGCTACTTGGGAGGCTGAAGTGAGAGGATCCCTGGAGCCCAGGATTCAAGATAAACAGTGAACTATGATCATTGCTACTGCACTCCAGCCTGAGTGACAAAGTTAGACTTCATCTGTTTTGACGGAGTTTCGCTCTTGTTACCCAGGCTGGAGTGCAATGGCACGATCTTGGCTCACCACAACCTCCGTCTCCTGGGTTCAAGCAATTCTCCTACCTCAGCCTCCCGAGTAGCTGGAATTACAGGCATGTGCCACCATGCCCAGCTAATTTTTTGTATTTTTTTTTTTTTTTTTTTTTTTTAGACGGAGTTTCGCTCTTGTTACCCAGGCTGGAGTGCAATGGCGCGATCTCGGCTCACCGCAACCTCCGCCTCCTGGGCTCAGGCAATTCTCCTGCCTCAGCCTCCTGAGTAGCTGAGATTACAGGCACGTGCCACCATGCCCAGCTAATTTTTTGTATTTTTAGTAGAAACGGGGTTTCACTATGTTGTGACCAGGATGGTCTCGATCTCTTGACCTCGTGATCCACCTGCCTCGGCCTCCCAAAGTGCTGGGATTACAGGCTTGAGCCACCGCGCCCGGCCAATTTTTTGTATTTTTAGTAGAGACGGAGTTTCACCATGTTGACCAGGATGGTCTCAATCTCTTGACCTCGTGATCCACCCGCCTCAGCCTCCTAAAGTGCTGGGATTACAGGCTTGAGCCACCACGCCCAGCTAGACTTCATCTCTTAAAAATAAATATCCTAGTCTGTTTCCAGAAAAATAAATAAATAAATAAATAAAACAGCATACAACCATGATTCACCTCTACAAATGTTATTTGTAACATTTATTGTTATTGAGTTTACTATTATTTCCTGATTTACTTTTTTGGGGGCATCGAGGGCAGCCTCTTCTGTTTTCTCTCATCTAGAACAGAAGTTTATTTATTTATTTAGAGCGGAGTCTTGCTCTGTCGCTCAGGCTGGAGTGCGGTGCCGAGACCTTGGCTCACTGCAACCTCTGCCTTCTGGGTTCAAGCGATTCTACTGCCCCAGCCTCTTGAGTAGCTGGGATTACAGGTGCCTGCCCATGCCTGGATAATTTTTTTGTATTTTTAGTAGAGACGAGGTTTCATCATGTTGACCAAGCTGGTCTTGAACTCCTGATCTCAGATGATCTACCCACCTCAGCCTCCCAAAGTGCTGGGATTACAGGCATGAGCCACAGCACCTGGCCTAGAATAGAACTTCTATTAGTAGGTGCTCAAATTATTTCCTTAATATGTAAAATTACACCAATAGGTAGGTAATCTACCCCATTCCTCGAGTTTAGGGTACGAAGAATTTGAATAAATTGGCTGTTGTCACTTTTGGTAAATAAATTTTCAAACTTCATTTTTTTGAGACAGAGTCTAACTCTTGTCGCCTAGGCTAGAGTGCAGTGATGAGGTATCAGCTCACTGCAACTCTGCCTCCTGTGGGGAGGTTCAAGCAATTTTCCTGCCTCAGCCTCCTGAGTAGCTGGGATTACAGGTGCATGCCACCACGCCTGGCTAAGTTTTGTATTAGTATTGACAAGATTTTCACTATGTTGGCCAGGCTGGTCTCGAACTCCTGACCTCAGGTGATCCACCTGCCTCGGCCTCCCAAAGTGCTGGGATAACAGGCAAGAGTCACCGAGCCTGGCCCAAACTTAATTGTAAATATGTTGATCACCTATAATCACTCCTGGCCCCAAAATAACGCGATCACATGCGCCACTGTGCCCAGCTAATTTTTTGTATTTTTAGTAGAGACGGGGTTTCACCATGTTGAACAGGATGGTCTCAATCTCTTGACCTTGTGATCCACCCGCCTCGGCCTCCCAAAGTGCTGGGATTACAGGCTTGAGCCACCGTACCCGGCTATTTCTTTTTTATAGAGACAAGATCTCACTATGTTGCCCAGGCTAGAGTGCAGTGATGCAATCACAGCTCACTGTAACTTTCAGCTCCCAGACTCAAGCAATTCTCCCATCTCAGCCTCTCAAATAGCCAGGACTATAGTAGTGTGCCACAATGCCCAGCTAAACTTGCAGTGTATTTTATTTAATTTTTTTTTTTTGAGACAGAGTTTTGCTCTTGTTACCCAGGCTGGAGTGCAATGGCGCGATCTCGGCTCGTCGCAACCTCCGCCTCCTGGGTTCAGGCAATTCTCCTGCCTCAGCCTCCTGAGTAGCTGGGATTACAGGCACGTGCCACCATGCCCAGCTAATTTTTTGTATTTTTAGTAGAGACAGGGTTTCACTATGTTGACCGGGATGGTCTCGATCTCTTGACCTCGTGATCCACCCGCCTCGGCCTCCCAAAGTGCTGGGATTACAGGCTTGAGCCACCGCGCCTGGCAGTGTATTTTATTTTTAACAGAACTTACATATATATATATATTTTTTTAATTGCATTTTAGGTTCTGGGGTACATGTAAAGAACATAAAGGATTGTTGCATAGGTACGTACATGGCAATGTGATTTGCTGCCTCCATCCCCATCACCTATATCTGGCATTTCTCCCCATGTTATCTGTCCTCAACCTCCCTACCCCCACGACTGTCCCTTCCCTAGGCCCCCCCAGCAGACCTCAGTGTGTGAGGCTCCCCTCCCTGTGTCCATGTGTTCTCATTGTTCAACACCTGCCCATGAATGAGAACATGCGGTGTTTTGATTTTCTGTTCTTGTGTCAGTCTGCTGAGAATGATGGTTTCCACGTTCATCCATGTCCGTAAAAGGACAGGAACTCATGGTTTTTTATGGCTGCATGGTATTCCATGGTGTATATGTGCCACATTTTCCCTGTCCAGTCTATCATCGATGGGCATTTGGGTTGATTCCAAGTCTTTGCTATTGTAAACAGTGCTGCAGTGAACATATGTGTGCATGTGTCCTTATAATAGAACGATGTATAATCCTTTGGACATATTCCCAGTAATGGGATTGCTGGGTCAAATGGAATTTCTATTTTTAGGTCCTTGAGGAATCGACACACTGTCTTCCACAATGGTTGAACTAATTTACACTCCCACCAAGTGTAAAAGTGTTCCTATTTCTCCATATGCTCTCCAGCATCTGTTGTCTCCAGATTTTTTAATGCTTGCCATTCTAACTGGCATGAGACGGTATCTCAATGTCGTTTTGATTTGCATTTCCCTAATGACCAGTGATGATGAGCATTTCTTTACTTGCAGTCTATTTTTGTAAAACTTAGTAGAACACAGCAAAATCCAGTAGTTTACATATTTTCCATGGCTGTTTTTGTGTTACAAAGTCAGAGGTGACTAGCTGTGGCAAAGTTAAACAGTTATAACAGAAACCATACTGCCGGCAAAGCGTAAAATATTTACCATTTGGCCTTTACAGAGGAAGTTTGCCGATCCCAGGTCTTGACTAGACTCTAGACTAGGCGTCCCCAAACTTTTTACACAGGGGGCCAGTTCACCGTCCCTCAGACCGTTGGAGGGCCGCCACATACTGTGCTCCTCTCACTGATGACCAATGAAAGAGGTGCCCCTTCCTGAAGTGCGGCGGGGGGACGGATAAATGGCCTCAGGGGGCCGCATGCGGCCTGCGGGCCATGGTTTGGGGACGTCTGCTCTAGACCAACTGCAGTGAAACTGCAGAGGCTCGAAAAAGCACATTATTTTATGTCACAGTCTTGGCAGCGGGCTGCAACTTACATAGATTTTCATTCTTGATGAAACTCACTGTCCTACACACAGGCTTAAGGCCACAGTCTAAAATCTAGCCAGGTAAAAACAAAACCAAGTCACATACAAGGTGGAGCAAAAAAAAAAAATTAATTAAAATAAAAAACCAAAAGTAAGTCTATTAGGTTGGCATCAGCTCTCCATTTTCTTTTCTTTCTTTTTTTTTTTTTAGACAGAGTCTTGCTGTTTCTCAGACTGTAATGCAGTGCCTACAGCTCACTACAGCCTCTACCTCCTGTACCCAAGAGATCCTCCCATCCCAGCCTCCCAACTAGCTGGGACTATAGATGCATACCACCATGACTGGCTAATTTTTAAATTTTCTATAGAGATGAGGTCTCATTTTTTTTTCTTTTTAAGACAGCATATTCTTCTTACCCAGGCTGGAGTGCAGTGTGTGATTACAGCTCACGGTGGCCTCAACTTCCTGGGCTCAATCAGCCTCCCATCTTAGCTTCCCAAGTAGCTGGGACTACAGGCATGTGCCACACACCTAATATTTTTATTTATTATTATTATTATTTTTTTTGAGGGGGTAAAGATGGGGTATTGCCATGTTGTTCAGACTGGTCTCAAGCAATCCACCCACCTTGACCTCCCAAAGTTCCATTACAGGCATGAGCTACTGCACCTGGTTACTTTTCTCTTTTAAAAACAGTATCTCGTTGGCCGGGCGCGGTGGCTCAAGCCTGTAATCCCAGCACTTTGGGAGGCCGAGGCGGGTGGATCATGAGGTCAAGAGATCGAGACCATCCTGGTCAACATGGTGAAACCCCGTCTCTACTAAAAATACAAAAAAATTAGCTGGGCATGGTGGCACGTGCCTGTAATCCCAGCTACTCAGGAGGCTGAGGCAGGAGAATTGCCTGAACCCAGGAGGCGGAGGTTGCGGTGAGCCGAGATGGCGCCATTGCACTCCAGCCTGGGTAACAAGAGCGAAACTCCGTCTCAAAAAAAAAAAATAAATAAAAATAAAAATAAAAAAAATAAAAATAAAAATAAAAACAGTATCTCTACGGGCACGGTGGCTCAAGCCTGTAATCCCAGCACTTTGGGAGGCTGAGGCGGGTGGATCACAAGGTCAAGAGCTCGACACCATCCTGGCCAACATGGTGAAACCCCGTCTTTACTAAAAATACAAAACATTAGCTGGGCATGGTGGTGCATGCCTGTAATCCCAGCTACTCAGGAGGTTGAGGCAGGAGAATTGCCTGAACCCAGGAGGCGGAGGTTGCGGTGAGCCGAGATTGCACCATTGCACTCCAGCCTGGGTGACAAGAGCGAAACTCTGTCCGCACCACCCCCCCCCAAAAAAAAAAACAATTATCTCAGTCAGGTGCAGTGGTTCACACCTATAATCCTAGCACTTTGGGAGGCCAAGGTGAGTGGATCACAAGGTCAGGTGTTTAAGACCAGCCTGGCTAATATGGCGAAACCCTGTCTCTACTAAAAATACAAAAATTAGCTGGGCATGGTGATGGGTGCCTGTGGTCCCAGCTACTCGGGAGGCTGAGGTTGCAGGGAGCTGAGATAGTGCCTCTGCACTCCAGCCCAGCCAACAGAGTAAGACTCCATCTCAAAAAAAAAAAAAAAAATCTCCAAGTCCCAAAGGAGGTCTTTGGTTTTCAACCTCTGCCTTTTACTACAGTCATGACTTGTTTCCTTCTGGCCTCTCCCCACAGAGGGCAAGACCTAGAGAAGAGAGCAACAGTAGAAAGTGAACAAAGACACTGGTTTCCTCTCTGATGTACACGCACACCTGACGATAGGGCCTAGATGCTGGAGAATGCTGCACTCACTGGGTATCACTGCAGGAGAGTTTAATAGATAGGTGGGACCCTTTTGATGAGCTGACTGACCTAGCTTGATTTTGCTATGGGCCATTTAAAAGTGCTCAGCTATCTTGAGTAGAGAGTAGGGCCAGAATCCCACCAGTAGTTTGCCTCAGTAACATGTGTCATGGGAAGTCAAATGTCTGTATCAAGAAAATAAAGAACCATTAAATAGGAGTGGTGAGAGTGAAACAAATACCATAAAAATAGAAAGAAAATAAGTTGGTAGCTGGGCACGGGGGCTCAAGCCTGTAATCCCAGCACTTTGGGAGGCCGAGGTGGGTGGATCACGAGGTCGAGAGATCGAGACCAACCTGGTCAACATGGTGAAACCCCGTCTCTACTAAAAATACAAAAAATTAGCTGGGCGTGGTGGCGCATGCCTGTAATCCCAGCTACTCAGGAGGCTGAGGCAGGAGAATTGCCTGAACCCAGGAGGCGGAGGTTGCGGTGAGCCGAGATCGCGCCATTGCACTCCAGCCTGGGTAACAAGAGCGAAACTCCATCTCAAAAGAACACTGACTTCTGAATGATGTGGCTGTTTGGGCTAATGAAATGATCAGATTCAAACTTCTAACGGCTAAAACACTACAGAAAAAGGCTAAGACTGGGCAACCAAAAAATGTCTTTCCCAAAAAGAGATGGCTTTGCATTTCAAATTCATCTAGTTTACTCATCTTTTTTTTAGGAGACGGAGTCTACTTCTGTTACCAGGCTGGATTGCAATGGCACGATCTCGGCTAACTGCAACCTCCACCTCCCAGGTTCAAGCGATTCTCCTGCCTCAGCCTCTGGAGTAGCTGGGATTACAGGTACATGCCTCCATGCCCAGCTAATTTGTGTATTTTAGTAGAGATGGGGTTTCACCTTGTTGAACTCCTGACCTCAGGTGATCTGCCAGCCTCAACCTCCCAAAGCGCTGGGATTACAGGAGTGAGCCACCATGCCTGATCTTAGTTTACTCATCTAGTTTACAAGAGAGTTTTTTAATTAATATTTAATATATTTAGTAATAATAATTTTTATTTTGAGATGGAATCTTGCTCTGTCTCTCTAGTGCAGTGGCATAATCTTGGCTGACTGTAATTTCTGCCTCCCAGGTTTAAGCAATTCTCCTGCCTCGGCTTCCCGAGTAGCTGGAGCTATAAGCGTGTGACACCATGCCCAGCTAATTTTTTTATAGTTTTAGTAGAGACAGTTTCACCATGTTGGCCAGGCTCCTGATCTTTCCTTTTCTTTTTTAAACTTAATTTTTTTTTGAGACAGAGTGTCGCTCTTCTTACCCAGGCTGGAGTGCAATGGCGCGATCTTGGCTCACCGCAACCTCCGCCTCCTGGGTTCAAGCAATTCTCCTGCCTCGGCCTCCTGAGTAGCTGGGACTACAGGCACGTGCCACCATGCCCAGCTAATTTTTTGTATTTTTTTTAGTAGAGACGGGGTTTCACCACGTTGACCAAGATGGTCTCGATCTCTCAACCTCGTGATCCACCCGCCTCGGCCTCCCAAAGTTAAACTTATTTTTTTAACAGCTTAGACAAAGCACCTCTGTATTCCAGGTTAACCTGTGTGAAGGCAAAACTCCTGATCTCAAATGATCTGCCTACCTCAGCCCCACAAAGTGCTGGGATTACAGGTATGTGCCATGGCGCAGAGCCTTTAGCCATGCCTGGCATGTAGCCCAGGCTGGAGGGTAGTGGCACGATCTCAGCTCACTGCAACCTCTGCCTCCCAGTTCAAGCAATTCTCATGCCTCAGCCTTCCAAGTAGCTCGATTACGGACACGTGCCACCATGCCTAGCTAATTTTTATATTTTTAGTAGAGACGGGGTTTCACCATGTTGGCCAGAATGGTCTAGAACTCCTGACTTCAGGTGATCCAATTGCCTTGGCCTCTCAAAATGTTGGGATTATAGGTGTGAGCCACTGCATCTGGCCAAATTAATTATTTTCAAATAAAATCTTTATCTTTTGAGACAGAATTTCACTTCTGTTACCCAGGCAGGAGCGCAATGGCATGATCTAAGCTCACTGCACCCTCCAACTCTCAGTCTCAAATGATTCTCCTGCCTCAGCCTCCTAAGTAGCTGGAAGTTCAGGTGCACATGCCACCAGGCCCAGGTGATTTTTGTATTTTTTGTAGAGACAGGGTTTCATCATGTTGCCCACACTGGTCTTGAACTCTTGAGCTCAAGTGGTCCATCTGCCTCAGACTCCCAAAGTGCTAGGATTACAGGCATGAGCCACTGTGCCCAGCCAAAATCTTTATTTTTAATAGAGAAGGAGTCTTTGCTATGTTGCTGAGGCTGATCTGAAACTCTTGGCTTCAAGTGATCCTCCCACCTTGGCCTCTCAGAGTTCTGGGATTACAGGCATGAGTTCATGGGATTACAGCACCTGAACCTAATTATTTTTTAGAGCCAGGGGTCACTAGTCCCAGGCTAAACACAAACTCCTGAGCTCAAGCAATTCCTCAGCGTCCTGGGTAGCTGGGATTACAAGCACATGTAACTATCCCCCAACAAGTTCGATACGTTTTCTTTTTTTTCTTTTTTTCGAGGCAGATTTTCTTGTCTCCCAGACTGGAGTGCAATGACTCGATTCTGGATCACTGCAACCTCTGCCTCCCGGATTCTCCTGCCTCACCCTCCCAAGTAGCTGGGATTACAGGTGCATGAGACAAGGTTTCGCCATGTTGACCAGGCAGGTCTCAAACTCCTGACCTCAGGTGACCCACCTGCCTCGCCCAGACTAGGTGGATACATCTTGCAGTCACAAACACTGGGGTGCAGGACCACTCACCTAAACTATCAGGACTGTCGATGGAAAAACACATCAGGATAACATCGGTGTCTGGGTAGGAGAGGGGCCTCAGGCGATCATAATCTTCTTGTCCAGCTGTGTCCCACAAAGCCAACTCTACCTGTAATGGGAAAAACAACCACAAGAGCTCAAGCTTAATCCTACTACTCACTTTTAGAAAAAGTGACGCTAACCATAGTACATTCAAATGACAGTCTAAAACAGTAAAACACAAGAGTATTTACTTTTTTTTTTTTTTTGAGACGGAGTTTCGCTCTTGTTACCCAGGCTGGAGTGCAATGGCGCGATCTCGGCTCACCGCAACCTCCGCCTCCTGGGTTCAGGCAATTCTCCTACCTCAGCCTCCTGAGTAGCTGGGTTTACAGGCACACGCCACCATGCCCAGCTAATTTTTAGTATTTTTAGTAGAGATGGGGTTTCACCATGTTGACCAGGATGGTCTGGATCTCTTGACCTCGTGATCCACCTGCCTTGGCCTCCCAAAGTGCTGGGATTACAGGCTTGAGCCACCGCGCCCGGCCCCCAGAAGAGTAGAATTTTACAGCATGGGTTCAGGAGACCAACACAAGCATGGGGACCACTGGCCCCAAGTTCTGGTTTCCACAGGCTTTTATTAGGTGCACACACATGTTAATAGAGGGGTGGGGGATCGGTGGGGGGGGGGGGGGTGATAAGGGAAGGCCTTGAAACTATTATGAGAGGCCTTGAAACTAATTTGGGCAAGATAGCCAGGCAGAGAGGTGATGTTTACAGTATTTGTAGCAGATGTGATTGATCGATCTATCTATCTATCTATCTATCTATCTATCTATCTATCTATCTGTCTATGTATGATGAGATTTCACCATTTTGGCCAGGCTAGTCTTGAACTCCTGGACTCATGATCCACTCATCTCGGCCTCCCAAAGTGCTGGGATTACAGGTGTGAGCCACTGCACTGGGCCAGCAGATGTGATTCTTACGCAAACCTACAACACTGAATTCTGCAAGGTGCATTTGCCATCAGAAGCAAATCTGATAAGGCCCCACCAGGTCTGACCACACGGCATCAAGGGGCTTTTATCTCCTGAGCTTTTTCGGACACAGAGCAATCAAAATTATTCCATATTTTGAGAACCCAGGCAGAGCCTGTGGTGTTTGGTTATCTCTGCCCTGCAAGGCTTTTCTTCCTTGCAAGCTCCCATCTCCGAAGACCCTCTGGGATCCCCTTCTCAGCGATCTTGCACAAGTCCTCTTTACGAGACCCTCATGCAGCATCCATGTTGAGAAGGCATTCATGGGACCAAAGCAGTATTTCCTGCTCTGCAATCACCCCGTGGTGTTCCATGGTTTTTACAAGGCTCTCAGATGGTCTTTACCTTAGGCCTCCAGTTGCCGCCTGATTTCTATTTTACTGCACTAATATTTGATATAGCTTAGTTTGGGGTATAAACTTCAGTGTACAATAAGCAAACCAAGCTTATAATTATTTAACTAGAAGTAACATAGGTCTGCCCCTGGCCATCTTGACCCACATAAATTGATGCCTGGTCTCTCAACATAAGTCCCATTCAACACTGTCCAGAGCACTGCAGCCAGCTTTGCTACCCCTTCTTATCACCAGACTCCATGTTCAACATCCTCTGTACAGAATGCCCTTTTAGGGCAAAGAGGTCTCCCTCCAATACTTACAACACATCCTTCTTCTCTTAGCACCTTCACAGCCCAAATTTCAGTTTCTAAGTGATTTCTGCCTTAAAATTGATGGCTCTTCCACCCTCCAACTTTCGTCCCACGATGCACCACAAAGAACCTCCATAAGGCCCACTGTACTTCTGTCATGCACACCATCATTCTGGCATGTGTAACTAAGATATACTGATGCCTGACTATCACAATCTGTCTGTCTTCACAATGATGGAGCTCATTTACTCCCTGCCAAATCCCACTCTACTGGCCCCCTCCACCCCATGGTGTTCAGTCACATATCCAGCCTCTGCTGGCGCCTGATAAAATGCTTTCAAGGTGCTGAGCCTGTCTCATATCAAAATGGGCCTTTTCACTTTGAGCAGGCCTACTCTTGGTACCATGATCACCTACAATCTTGTATGGTTCCCTGGCACTGCATAATGTTGAATGAATATTCCTACACAGCACCTTCTCCCATCCTGGGGACTCTGAGGCAGGCAGCTAGTCTGTGATATGCTCTTCAAAATCAAACACTTTTATTCTGGGGAACTCTCCTCAAGTGAGGAGCGTCCTCCTATATTGCAAGGGTCAATGATGTTCAAGGTTTGCAGCACAAGAAAGATACTCACAGACCATTCCTCAAGGTTTCAGGTCGAGGTATCTAAATTTCTTATGGGCAAGATTCTGGTTGTTCCAAGATGCCCAGGCAGAGATGATGTTTCCAAGAAAACCAAAGAGCTATTGCTGCCTCTAAAACATACATACTGCCATAGATAGAAAACATCCTTCCAGTTCATGGTCACAGACATGCAACAACTAATAGCCACTCTCTGGAGAAAATGTTAGGACACAACCAGTAATACACATTCACTAGGCTTTTGAGAAATAAGCTATGAAAGTATCAACCTGACACTGCTTCCCCAAGCCAATGGATCTTTCTATATGTGTTGTATCAATCTAAGTTAGGTAAGAGGGCTATTACTTGACACCAATTCTGAAGACTTCAGCACATTTCTGCCTAGTTTGTTACCATTGGGCCCTGTCTCCACATAAAACCAGTCTTCCTATCAGGATCACAAAATGTCCAAACATCCATGAAGAGTACTGAGGCTGAATTAACACTCTGCATCGGTGGGCCCCCTTCAGAGTACATCTGAAGACTCTGTTAGGCTGGTATTTATTTTATTTTTTTCCATCTATATTTGGGCCAGAAAGTATCTTAGAGTTCCTAACAGCAAAAGAGCAATAATTGTGGCTCACTCTGTATTTGAATAAAAAAGGCTACAAACTAAGAAAGAGGGTTTTGAGCATGGTAGTATTCACCTCAATTTATGAAGTGCTTTGGTTCTTCTACTTTATGTTACTTCATAGGAACCTTGAGGTCACCTATAAAATGGTTTAAATTGTTTTGCAAATGAGGAAGACTCAAAGGTCAAACAGCTTACTGATGGCCAAAGAACTATCAGGAAACCCTACAATGAAGGCCCCTTGAGTTCGGAGCAGCTTATCTAATCCATATTCCTCACACAGTGCCACTAAACGGAGACCAGGTAGCCTGGGAGAGAAAGAAGTAAGTAATGCAGCAAAGTAAGAAGTGGCCAGGAGCAGTAGCTCATGTCTGTAATCTCAGCACTTTGGAAGGTCAAGGTAGTTTGATCACCTGAGGTCCGGAGTTCGAGACCAGCCTGGCCAACATGGTGAAATCCCATCTCTACTAAAATTACAAAAATTAGCCAGGCATGTCATGGTGGCAGGCACCTGTATTCTCAGCTCCTCGGGAGGCTGAGTCAGGACTATCACTTGAACACAGGAGGCAGAGGTTGTAGTGAACCAAGATCGTGCCATTGCACTCCAGCCTGGGTGACCAAAGGAGACTCTGTCTCCAAACAAACAAATAAACAAAAAGTAAGAAGGGAGAAAGGGGATGAATTAATGAAAGGTAATATATTAAGGGTTAGCAGCATATGAGACATATAACTGAATGCCCAAGAAAAATGAGAATGTTGGAGAAGAGTACCTTGTTCTAGTTTTTTTTTTTTTTTTTTTTGAGACGGAGTTTTGCTCTTGTTGCCCAGGCTGGAGTGCAATGGCGCATTCTCGGCTCACCGCAACCTCTGCCTCCTGGGTTCAAGCAATTTTCCTGTCTCAGCCTCCCAGGTAGCTGGGATTACAGGCATGTGCCACCACGTCCGGATAATTTTTTGCATTTTTAGTAGAGACGGGGTTTCACCATGTTGGCCAAGACGGTCTTGATCTCTTGACCTCGTGATCCACGCTCCTCAGTCTCCCTAAGTGCTGGGATTATAGGCATGAGCCACCGCGTCCGGCCCTGGGGTTTTCTTTTTTGAGACGGAGTCTTGCGCTGTTCCCAGGCTGGAGTGCGGTGACGCGATCTCGGCTCACTGCAACCTCCGACTCCTGGGTTCAAGTGATCCTCCTGCCTAACCTCCAAGGGTTTTTTTCTTTCAGTTGACCCACTTAAAAAGATGTATAGGAGAGCTGGGTACACTGGCTCATACCTGTAAGCCCAGCCACTAAAGGGGCTGAGGTGGAAGAATCACTTGAGCCCAGTTGTTTAAAACCAGCTGGGTCGCCGGGTACCTGTAATCCCAAGCACTTTGGGAGGCTGAGGTGGGCAGATCACAAGGTCAGGATCTCAAGACCAGCCTGGCCAATATGGTGAAACCCAATCTCTACGAAAAATACAAAAAAATAAAAATAAAAATAAATAGCCAGGCTTGGTGCCACATGCCTGTAATTCCAGCTACTGGGGAGGCTGAGTCAGGGGAAATTGCTTGAACCCGGAAGTCAGAGGTTGCAGTGAGTGGACATCGTGTCACTTCACTCCAGCCAGGGTGACAGAGCAAGACTCCGTCTCAAAAATAATAAAAAATAAATAAAACCAGCTGGGTCAACGAAAGCCCTATCTCTAAACATAAATTGGGCCGGGTGCGGTGGCTCATGCCTGTAATCCCAGCACTTTGGGAGGCCTAGGTGGGTGGATCACGAGGTCAAGAGATCGAGACCATCCTGGTCAACATGGTGAAACCCAGTCTCTACTAAAAATACAAAAAGTTAGCTGGGCATGGTGGTGCGTGACTGTAATCCCAGCTACTCGGGAGGCTGAGACAGGAGAATTGCCTGAACCCAGGAGGCGGAGGTTGCGGTGAGCCGAGATCACGCCATTGCACTCCAGCCTGGGTAACAAGAGCGAAACTCCATCTCAAAAAAAAAAACATAAATTACCCAGGTATAGTGACACATACCTATAGTGCCAGCTATTTGGGAAGCTGAGGTGGAAGGATCACTTGAGCCCAGGAGTTCAAGGCTGCAGTGAACTATGGCCATATCACTACACTCAAGGCCTGGGAGACAAAGATTCCTGTCTCTTAATTAAAGCATTATTTAGACAACAAAAGGAAGCAGAAAATTAAACACACACACACACAAAAACCCTAAAATTAAAAACAAACAAACAAAAAAAAAACCCCCTCCAATTTCTAAAGAGCTTTGTTCCAGTCTTACCAGAGGGCTTTTAGGACAGAAATGGGGAAGCACTGTCCTCACCATCAGTGACAAAATAAAACAATTGTGGCAGGCTGCTTTATCTTAAAGTAAAAAAAATCTTTTAAAATTAAATGTAAGCAGCCGGGCTTGGTGGCCCACGCCTGTAATCCCAACACTTTGGGAGGCCAAAGTGGGTGGATCTAGAAGTCAGGAGATAGAGACCATCCTGGCTAACACAGTGAAACCCTGTATCTACTAAAAATACAAAAAAATAGCTGAGCCTTTGAAGATGATTTGGGTGGAACAACAACAACAAAAATAGCCAGGCGCGGTGGCAAACGCCTTTAGTCCCAGCAAGGCTTGAGGCAGGAGAATCACTTGAACCCAGGATGTGAAAGCTGCAGTTAGCCAAGACAGAGCTACTGCACTCCAGCCTGGGTAACAGAATAAGACTCCATCTCAAATAAAAACCAAAAAAAAACCAGGCTGGTGTTATGGCTCATGCCTGTAATCCCAGCATTTTGGGAGGCCGAACTGGGTGGATCACCTGAGATCAAGAGTTTGAGACCAGCCTGACCAACATGGATAAGTCCTATCTCTACTAAAAATACAAAATTAGCTGGGCGTGGTGGCGCATATCTGTAATCCCAGCTATTCAGGAGGCTGAGGCAGGAGAATTCCCTGAACCCAGGAGATGGAGGTTATGGTGAGCCAAGATCATGCCATTCATTGTATTCCAGCCTGGGCAACAAGAGTAAAACTCTATCTCAAAAAAAAAAAAAAAAAAAAAAGGTCCTGGCACAGTGACTCATGCCTATAATCCCAGCACTTTGGGAGGCTGAGGTGGGCAGATCACCTGAGGTCAGGAGTTCATGAACAACCTTGGCCAATGTCATAAAACCCCATCTCTACTAAAAATACAAAAATTAGGCCGGGCGCGGTGGCTCAAGCCTGTAATCCCAGCAGTTTGGGAGGCCGAGGCGGGTGGATCACGAGGTCAAGAGATCGAGACCATCCTGGTCAACGTGGTGAAACCCCGTCTCTACTAAAAATACAAAAAATTAGCTGGGCGTGGTGGCGCATGCCTGTAATCCCAGCTACTCAGGAGGCTGAGGCAGGAGAATTGCCTGAACCCAGGAGGCAGAGGTTGCGGTGGGCCAAGATTGCGCCATTGCACTCCAGCCTGGGTAATGAGAGCAAAACTCCGTCTCAAAAAAAAAAAAAAAAAAATTAGCCAGCCGTGGTGGCGCATTCCCATAATCCCAGCTACTGCGGAGGCTGAAGAGGGAGAATTCCTTAAACCCGGAGGAGGCTGGGCACAGTGGCTCACTACTGTAATCCCAGCACTTTGGGAGGCTGAGGTGGGCAGATTATGAGGTCAAGAGATGAAAACCAGCCTGGCAAACATAGTGAGACCCCATCTCTACTAAAAATACAAAAAATTAGCCAGGGGTGGTGGGTGCCTATAATCTTAGTTACTCAGGAGACTGAGGCAGGAGAATCGCTTGAACCTGGGAGGTGGAGGTTGCAACGAGCCCAGGTCATGCCACTGCATACCAGCCCGGGCAACAGTGCAAGACTCTGTCTCAAAAAAACCCAAACAAACTTGGACTAAAACGGCAGTATGAGAATGGATTATTCTTTCCAACATTTTTGTTATATTGTATACTGAGACAGCAAAAAGATCTTAGTTCTGCCGGGCGCGGTGGCTCACGCCTGTAATCCCAGCACTTTGGGAGGCCGAGGTGGGTGGATCACGAGGTCAAAAGATCAAGACCATCCTGGTCAACACGGTGAAACCCCGTCTCTACTAATAATACAAAAATTAGCTGGTGGCGTGTGCCTGTAATCCCAGCTACTCAGGAGGCTGAGGCAAGAGAATTGCTTGAACCCAGGAGGCAGAGGTTGCGGTGAGCCAAGATCGTGCCATTGCACTCCAGCCTGGGTAACAAGAGTGAAACTCCGTCTCAAAAACAAACAAACAAACAAACAAAAAAAACGGATCTTAAGTTCTATACATGCTCCGTAAATAATCTAACACAGAAAATGGCACCAGTTCTTATGAAAAGTATACTCACCTGTTTTCCATCCACCTCAATATCTGCCACATAGTTCTCAAACACTGTGGGCACATACACCTCTGGGAACTGGTCCTTGCTGAAGACTATGAGCAAGCATGTTTTTCCACAGGCTCCATCACCAACGATTACCAGTTTCTTCCGAATGGCAGCCATGACTGAAACACAAACCACAGGATTATCTGGAATGCACAAGAAGCCATAGGTAGCCTCAGGCTATGACACATGCTTTTTTAACCATGGGGCATAAGCCTCTAACAGCATACTCAAATTCAAAATTCTAGTACACTGATCCACCTGACACCAAAACGTTATACAACAAAACCTCGTAACATTTTATACTTAATGGTAAAAGACTGAAAAGAAGGTCTGCTCCCTAAGATCAGGAACAAGACAAGGATGTCTGTTCTTGCCACTCCTTTTTTTTAAGACCAAGTTTCCTTTGTCGCCCAGGCTGGAATGCACTGGTGTGATCTTGGCTCACTGCAACCTCAGTGTCCTAGGTTGTGCCTCAGCCTCTCAAGTAACTGGGACTACAGGTACGCGCCACCACACCCCCGCTAATTTTTTTATTTTTAGTAGAGACAGGGTTTCACCATATTGACCAGGCTGGTCTCAAACTCCTGACCACGTGATCTGCCCACCTAGGCCTCCCAAACTGCTGGGGTTATAGGCATGAGCCACCACACCTGGCCTGTTCTTGTCACTTCTACCCATCAAGATACTTAAAAGTCCTAGTCCGGGCAGTAAGTAAACAAAATAAATGACACCTAAATTGGAAAGGAAGAAGTAAAACTATTTCAATTCGTATATGAGATGATCTCACAATGTGGGAAATCCTAAAGAATCATTAAAATACTTTTAGAATAGGCTGGGTACAGTGGTTCACTCCTGTAATCCCAGCACTTTGGCAGGATGAGGCGGGCGGATCACCTGAAATCGGGAGTTTGAGACCACCCTGACTAACATGGAGAAACCCAGTCTCTACCAAAAATACAAAATTAGCCAAGGGTGTTAGCAAATGCCTGTAATCCCAGCTACTCGGGAGGCTGAGGCAGGAGAATTGCTTGATCCTGGGAGGCAGTGGTAACTTAGGCTGAGCTGAGATCACACCATTTCACCCCAACCTGAACAACAGGAGCAAAATTCCATCTCGAAAAAAAAAAAAGAAAAGGAAAGGAAAAAAAAAACCTTTTAGAATAAACAAGTTCAGTCAGGTTGCAGGATACAGCATTAGCATTAAAAAAATCAATTCAATTGAGGCCGGCACAGTGGTTCTTATCTGTAATCTCAACACTTCGGGAGGCTGATGCAGGAGGATTACTCAGGCCCAGGAGTTAAGAGACCAGCCTTGGCAACACAGTCAGACACTGAGAAAGGACGGACGGATGGAAGCCTGAGAGGGGAGGAAAGAAAGAAAAGGGCCAGGCAGAGTGGCTCACGCCTGTAATTCCAGCACTCTGGGAGGCTGAGACAGGCAGACTGCTTCAGAGTCCAGGAGTTCAAGACTAGCCTGGGCCAATACAGTGAAATCCTGTATCTACTAAAAATACAAAAAAATTAGCCAGGCACGGTGGTACACACTAATCACAGCTACTTGGGAGGCTCAGGTGGGAGAATCACCTGAGCCTAGGAGGTTGAGGCTGCAGCGAGCTGAGACTGCACCAATGCACTCTGGTTCTGGGGAACCAGAATGAGATGTTGTCTTTAAAAAAAGAAAGAAAATAAAATCAGCTAGGTGTGGTAGCATGCACCTGTGGTCCCAGGTACCAAGGAGGCTGAGGTGGGATGACTGCTTGAGCCACGGAGGTAGAGGATGCAGTAAGCCATGACTGCACCACTGCACTCCAGTCTGGGTGAGAGTGAACACCCTGTCTCAGAAAAACTCTTAGGACTCAACTACAAAAAAGTAAGTAGCTTAGGTTGGTGATCTGGCTCAGGATCTCTTGCAAGGTTTAAGTCATAAAGAACTCTTTTTGGTCTGGGCACAGCAACTCACACCTGTAATCCCAGCACTTTGGGAGGCTGAGGCAAACAGAACACTTGAGGTCAGGATTTCAAGACAAGCCTGGCCAATATGGCAAAACCTCATCTCTCTAAAAAAAAAATACATAATAAATTAGCCGAATGTGGTGGTGGGCACCTGTAATCCCAGTTACTCGAAAAGCTGAGGCAGGAGAAATCACTTGAACTTGGGAGGCCAAGGCAGGTGGATCCCAAGGTCAAGAGATCGAGACTATCCCGTCCAACATGGCGAAATCCCTTCTCTACTAAAAATGCAAAAATTAGCTGGGCCTGGTGGCATACACCTGTAGTCCCAGCTACTTGGGAGGCTGAGACAGAATTGCTTGAACTCGGAAGGCAGAGGTTGCAGTGAGCTAAGATCGTGCCATTGTATTCCAGCCTAGGTGACAGAGTGAGACTCCATCTCAAAAAAAAAAAAAAGAAAAAACAAGCAAAGGGGCCAGGTGTGGTGGCTCATGCCTATAATATCCCAGCACTTTGGGAGGCTGACTAGGCGGGTGGATTGCCTGAGCTGAGGAAGTGCTTGAGACCAGCCTGGGCAACACGGTAAAAAGTCATCTCTACTAAAATATCCAAAAAAAAAAAAAAAAAAAAATTAGACAGGTGTAGTGGCGTGTGCCTGTAGTCCCAGCTACTCAGGAGGCTGAGGCAGGAGAATTGCTTGAACCTGGGATGTGGAGGCTGCAGTGAGGCAAAATGGTGGCACTGCACTCTATCCTGGATGACAGAGGAAAAAAAAAGAGCAAAGGACGTGAGTAGGTATGACACAGCAATTCTATTCCTAGGTATACATCTAAGAGAAACAAAAAAATATGTCCACATAACAACTTGTACCTCTACATAAATATTCATAGCAGGATTATTCATAAGTCAAAAAATGTAAAGAACCGAAATATCCAACAACTGATGAATACAGTATATCCAAACAATGGAATGGAATATTATTCAGCAATAAAGGATAAAGTATTGATATATGGTATACTATTAATCTTGAAAATGTTATGTAAGTAAAAGAACAGAGTCACGAAAACCAACATGCATGATTTTACTTATATAAAATTGTACAGGCCGGGTGCGGTGGCTCAAGCCCGTAATCCCAGCACTTTGGGAGGCCGAGGCGGGGGGATCACCAGGTCAGGAGATCAAGACCATCCTGGTCAACATGGTGAAACCCAGTATCTACTAAAAATACAAAAAATTAGCTGGGCATGGTGGCGCATGCCTGTAATCCCAGCTACCCAGGAGGCTGAGACAGGAGAATTGCCTGAACCCAGGAGGCGGAGGTTGCGGTGAGCTGAGATCGCGCCATTGCACTCCAGCCTGGGTAACAAGAGCCAAACTATGTCTCAAAAAAAAAAAAATTGTCCAGAATAGACAAATCCAGAGAGAATAGACTGATAGTTGCCTAGGGCAGGCACTTGAGGGGTGGAGATAAATGGAAAATGACTAATGAAATAATGGTTTCTTCTTCAGGTAACGACATTTTTCAAAAAGTATTGTGGTGACAGCTGCACAAGTCTATGAACATACTATAAACTATTGATTACAGTATATATAATTCACATTTTATTTATTTTAAGACAGGTTCTCACTCTGTTGCCCGGGCTGGAGTGGAGTGGTATGATCTCCACTCACTGCAACCTCAGCCTCCCCAGGCTCAAGTAATCTTTCTCCCATGGTAGTCTACGAGTAGTTGGGACTACAGGTGCAAGCCACCACACCTGGCTTTTTTTGTATTTTCAGTATGACAGGATTTCGCCACATTGCCCTGGCTGATCTCAAACTCCTAAGGTCAAGTGATCCACCCGCCTCTACCTTTCTCCCAAAGTGCTGGGATTACAGGGGTGAGCTACCGCACCCAGCCCACAGTATATATAATTCACATTTTAAATAGGTAAATTCTAAGGTATGTAGATTATATTTCAATAAAGCTGTTACCACCCTTCTCGTACCCAGTGGAAAAAAAAATCAGAAATCTGCAGATTGTTTCTATCTGGCAGACAGTGAAGGTCAACCACCACAATTCCCACCATTCTCTCTTAAACTATACTTCAATTTTTAGCTATGTACTTTGTTGTAGACTACACTTAGTAGCTTCCCTTGCAGACATGGCCATGTACCATAAGATGTGAATCAGCAGTATGTTGTGGGACTTCCAGGAAATCTTTCTTAAAGTGAAATCACGTGCCCTTCTTCATTCTCTTCCTCCTTTCCTGCTGCTTAAACCTGAAGGGCTGTGTTTTTTTTTTGTTTGTTTTTTCGCTTTTCCTTCTGAGACGGAGTCTTGCTCTGTCACCCAGGCTGGAGTGCAGTGGAGCGATCTCAGCTCACTGAAGCCTCCGCCTCCTGGGTTCAAGCAATTCTCCTTCCTCAGCCTAAGTAGCTGGGACTACAGGAACATGCCACCACACCCAGCTAATTTTTGCATTTATAGTAGAGATGGGGGTTTGACCACGTTGGCCAGAATGGTCTTGACCTCCTGACCTTGTGATCCACCCACCTCAGTCTCCCAAAGTGCTAGGATTACAGCTGTGAGCCATTGAACATGGCTGTAAGGGCTGGTTTCTAAGTAGCCATCCTGGTATGTGAGAATGAGTACAGTACCATGAGGCTGGAGGAAACAAAAGGTAAAAAGGACCCTGGATCTCAGGTGATCTTGGGAGCCACCATCTCAGCCCCAAGACTGCCTACCTTCCATGCTTCTGCCATATAAATAAGAAATAAATGATCACCTTGTTTAAGGTGGTATTTTTCAAGTCTGTTTCCTACAGACAAACTAATCCTAAAGAACATATACTCACTATCAAAATTGTGTCATCTAAAGCGTATGTTCCCCAACCAGAATGGATTAAGACAATCCACTGAGGTACCAGCTCAGAGGGCTAACGACAACAACAAAAAGGACAAAAATAAAAAATAAAAATAAAAAAAAACTCAAGAGGGCTGATGGTACTGCCCTCCTGAATTCATTTGTGAATTAGCAGAGTATTACACAAGGCAGTGAATATGTACCTAAGTATATATGTATAGAGATTATAGAATTTTATCCAAATCTACAAAATGATCTAATTAATGATTTAACTTTTTTTTTTTTTTTTTTGGCAAAATGGCAGTGAAGATGCTACTAATCATG